TTGACGGAAGCATGATAAAGACCACACGTTTTGCAGGTTCGACTTCGTCATGATTACCACTGGATTTACTAGTCCGTGGTCAGTTTTAGCTAATGGTCGAAACTCTTCTCGTTCGAGAAGCGTCTCGAAATCCTGAGCATGAGTATGAGCAGTAGATGAACTATGCTTTCCACTTCGAATAGCGATGTATGTTGGTCCAGAATATCCAACGGCTTGCGGTTGTCCTAGCATATTGGAAGTGATTTTGATACCAGCATAAACAGATGGTATTAATTTATGACCATCAGCGATTACCCAATCGTGATCAGGCAATTTGATTCTATATTCCATGTGCATTAGAAGAGGTGCTTGCTTATTTGCCGCAGTTACGCCAATAGCGACTCGAGCTTTTTCATCTTGAGATATGAAAAATACTTGATCTGGTCCAAGTATGGATGCTATGTTTTCTAAATAATGGATTGATGTTTCAGCGAACTTGCTATCTAAGTGGCTCTTGTGGTGATCAGTTTGAGCCCGAAAGAGCTTAACAGGGACTGTCAATACATGTCTTCGTCCCTCTGCAGAATTAGATTTTCTGGGAATCAAACGAAGATATGTCCCACTGCGACTAATGTCAAATCCTATTTTACGTAATTCTTGTGTGAGTTTATCAAGAGTTTTTACGCTGCGAATTGATTCCGTTCGTCTTCTATCATCTGCTGCACTCCCAAATAAAGCTATATCCGCGATTGTTTTCAACAGTGAATGTTGATTGCTTTCATGATTAGGACGTCCCACTGAATCCCTCAGAAATAGTCTTTTTTATGTCTGGATTTTCATGACAAATATCTTCTAACTTTTTTTTCATACCATCCCTGTGTTTCTTCTCGGCAACTGCGTTTTGAACCCTCCTGTTTAAAGAGTGTTTTGCTGCTTTTATTTCCTCGCGCAACTTAATGATCTGTTTATCAACTTCAGCACGGCTTGGCATAGTATCTCTGGCGGAATACAAAGCATTCAGATTTTTTTCGAGTAGAGCAATCTTATTTTTCATAGCTTCCTGAGAAGGTTTTGCTCTCTGTTTATCTGTATTTTCATTAATTTCGCATTGCTGTTGTGATTCATTACCGGGTTTTATTTTATCTTCTTCCTCTTTTTTAATATTTGAAGCTGACTGTATAATTTGTGTTTTTCCTGCAGGTTTACAGGTTGCCTAAAAATAAAAACTTTCTATGGCTTCTGCTAAAGATTCTCTTATTAAGCTACATAAATACAAAGTATGGCAATATATATGGTAAATACAAAACCATATAGCTTTAAATCTAATATGTTTAAACGAGTAATTCGTTCCGGTCACAAAATATAGGGTGTTAGTTTTCTGTATATATGTATAAAACTAACATCCTGTACTTTGTGACCAATTGACGGAATCAATCATACGAAATAAATCTATAATATAATGAATATTACCTCTATACTTTGAGATAGGCCATAATATTTTCTAATCAGTAAAGAGAAACTTTTTGGCGATTTCTAATATTTCTAGTACTCATAGGTACCTAAAATGATTTTGTCACTCACCTTAGAAAAAAAAATTAGTAGATTGGATTTATTCTTAGTCGCCGCTTGCAACTCTTCTTCGATTCTCTTAGATATAATAATCTGTAGTTCCTTGTCGGGCTTTGCTTGTAATTTGTAATTTCGCCACACTTCGTTAACTAACTTTTGTACATTTTGTACTTTCGTACTTGTATGAGATTTTTAAAAACTTTCAAACAATTTTTGGTATAACTTGGATTTGTCTATGTGAAACGACATCTTATTTAAACATTAAACTTTGGCTAATGAAATCAATGGTAACACAAATGTGAACTTGCTTTACTATGCTTACAATACGTCTACTCGCTGTGGTATCCAAACGAAACAATACACTGATAGAGGAAATTTAGACAAGTGAACCCCGCGCGGTAATTCCCCTACTCCGTTCTAAAGCGACTAGGGGAATTAGCGCGCTGTTCACTAAACGTATGCATTATTTGCGGGAATCCCCGAAAATGCTTTTCGTTTTCAAGCAAAGACAATATGAGGGTTGCCATTCGTGTAAAAAAGTAAATAACTACCGATGACGTAATCATCATCTAGATTCCCCTACCCTCCATGTCATCCAAAATAAGCAAAGCAAAGACGCCCCCCCCATAGTGCTCACGTAATACTTGAACGGCCTCTTATGCGCTAAGTTGAAATATTACGTCTTTAACTGCTACTCGGTGAAATTCTGCGAATCTTACTTGTAGGATCGTAAGCAACAAGTGTCGATAAACAATAGGGTTTCTTCAGTCTCCAATCTCATATCAGGGGTGCTACAAGGCTCAATGTTAGGTCCGATGCTGTTTTTAGCGTATACATCAGACATTCATAGATATAAATCATTCATATGGACAGATGTATGCTGATAATAAACAACTTCAATCCAAAAAAGCAGAATTTCCTAGGTAGTCATTTATTTCGCCTAGAAGATTTATCCCAAAATGACTTTTTTCCTGCTTTTATTTGAGATGGTATTCCAAAATAAATTACATGTTAACATGGCCACTTTTTCTCTGCAAAATGCTATAATTAAAATTTCAATGTGACGTTTCATCTATTGTCCTCCAACATTAACTTTATTTTTTCTTATAGGCGCCATTTTGGATTCTTGCGCAGGTGAATATAGAGTTTTTAATTCCGATTTCAAGAATGTATAATATATCATATATTGACATTGACAAACCTGAGTTATTCCAGTTATACAGAAGCTCCTAGGTAGGTCTTGAAATCATAAGATTTCATTTGTTTGGTATACCAGACCAAGACAGTTTGTACACATGATCAAGTGGCCTTATTCCATTTGGCAGGATCCAGTAGTTTTTCTATTTTTGTCTGATAGTCTACTTTGTTCAGGACTACGGTGACGTTTCCTTTATCAGCCGGTACAGTCACTATTTCCTTATCGTCCTTAAGCGTCCTAACAGCACCGAACACCGCTCCCAATCGTCCCAGTTGTTGGCTACAATATGTAGATGATACCTTCGTGGAAGGACAGAACCAGCACTGTTCCTAAATCACCTAAACAGCATTCACCCCAAAATCAAATTCACAACGCAATGCGCAGGCGTGTCAATGGTATAAGAAATCGTGGATCCTCAGCACACTATTGAACCAACTTCTGCAATCAAGTGACGAATCAAGCTGAAAATTTAATCATTTTACTAGTAAGGGACACTGAACATATACTAAGTGACATATAAATCCGAACACCCAGTTTAAATGGTTTTATTTTAATAAAATTTTGTATAAGTACTTGAAGCATAATAAGTAAATGATAAAAATTTCAAAATGATTGCACTGCTTTAAAGCCCTTTGACCTTTAGTAATGTGTGGATGCACCCTGATGTGCTACGCATTCTCCAACGCGCCTAGGCATGCTTCTGATCAGGTGGTCAATGTCCTCCTGTGGTATCACATTCCAGGCAACCACCAACTGCTCTCGAAGTGCTTCTAGAGTCTGAGGAGGACGTTGCAAATTGAGCAATCTCCTACCCATCATATCCCACACGTACTGAATTGGGGATAAGTCGGGAGATCTTGGTGGCCATGGTAACAATGTGACATCATTATGTTGAAAGAAGTCTATTGTCACTCTTGCAACATGTGGTCTGGCATTATCTTGTTGGAAAGTTGGATCTGCCAGGGTGTCAAGATAGGGTAAAAGATGGGGTTCTAGAACTTCGTGGATATAACGCTGCGCGTTCATGTTACCTCTGCTGAAGACTAAAGGTGTCCTGGAACCATAAGCTATAGCACCCCAAACCATAACTCCAACAGTGTGATGAACATGTCTTTCAACAAAAAACTTTGGATTCCTCCTTTCACCACGTAGCCTTCTAACCCTGGCACGACCATCTTGCATGCCTAAACAAAATCGAGACTCGTCACTAAAGACAATACTGTTCCATTCCTGATCCCAGAGTGACCGTTGTCTGCACCACTCAAGGCGATTACGTCGGTGTTCTCGAGTTAAAGGGAGGACCTAGTGTGGCCGGTATGAAAACAAGCCAAAACTTCTCATTCGTCAGTAAACACTTCGCATGCCAATAGGTCTTCCGTGTTCTGCAAACCATTCATTTGCAATGGAGAAACTGTCCCTTAAGGCCAATAATCTTAGGCGGCGATCTTCACGGTCTGTTGTTCTACGGCTCTTTGCGTACGGCCTTCTCGAAGCCATGCCTGACAACACCTAACCACAGTGTCTACACTTCTTTGCACTCTAACTGCAATTGCCTGAAAAGAAAGTCCAGCTTCCCGAAGTCCCACTATACGGCCCCTATCAAACTTACTAAGTTGACGAATCGTACAGGTCTCCGTACTCTAGGCATCGTAACCGATCGTAAAGGATGTCAAGAAAAAAAATCCGCCAACGTTGATTCTTTACTGCGGCTGAAATATTCATTTTTAGAGCGTTAGTGAATTAAAAGAAAACAGTATAAAACCGGAATGTCCAACTGATAAGGCTGAAAATTTTTTCACTTGTTATTTGCAGTAAGATAAATACATTCACCAACTTTTATTAAAATAAAACCATTTAAACTGGGTGTTCGGATTTATATGTCACTTAGTATATATGCCAAAAATCATGAAAATTGACTAAACATACGTAGATGTTTACCTTTTATTGTCACTCAGTATAATAAGTTCACAATCAATGAAAATAAAAAATATCGAATTTTGTTAGGGTTGCAAAATTCGTAAGCTTTTATTTTGATTCTAACATATCAATATCACCAAATTTTTCGATGTCTTAAATTTGTGATACACATCATTCGGTAAACTTGACGCCATTTTTTCTTTACATAAACCACAACCGTTTCACCATACAATCATTCTGCTGATTGCTGATTTTAATTTGGCGCTTACGAAACTTTCTTCCACCATTTTTGTCTCATACTCTTAATTTGATAATTTGTAATCGTTTTTTGTTTCAGGGGTTCTATGGCTTAGCCTACAGGACGCATATGGAATTAGAGCTTCTTCTTTAATATATGGAAAGTCAACCACGACGACCACAACTACCTTAGCACCAGTACAAAATGACACTTCACCTGATGAAGAGGTTAGTCAATTTTCTATTATAAAACAATATGTATGTGTATGTCCTTGAATGATATTAAACGAAGATCAGGCCACCAAATGCGCCAGATGAGTGACTCTCACTGACAAGTATTATCATTGATTCTACTGCATTTCAAACAAATGACGTGTCCACCAATTAAATTACAAGCATTTTCAGTGCGCCGTTGAAGTTCTTCCAGAGTATTTACTGCTTCATCATGATATAATTATACAGGGTGGCGCATCGAAAACGAAACAGACGCATTAACCTTATTTTAAAGGTCTTTCAATTCTCTTTATAATGATGTAAAATACATGAGCTTCAGTTCTGTAGTTTTGAAGACTTATTGATTTAAAGCTTAAAGTAGACTTTAATAGGTACACCAGATTAGTTTGTACTACTTTCAGAAGAAATTTGACTAAAAGAATTTACTTAATAAGTAAATGCTTTTCTGCACTACGCTCATGGTTTGTTTATCATTTTGTTGTTGAAAATAGCTAATTAAATGTTTGGGCTGGTATTTTTGGCTATCATTTAGTTGGTCCTTTTTTCTTACCTGGAAATTTGACCGGTGAAATGTATTTGGAATTACTGGAAGACGCCATAGATCCTGCATTAACAGCCATAATTGAAAATCAGAATGATCGGCGGTACATTGCGAATAGGTCGATATTCCAACAGGATAGTGCCCCACCACATTACGCATTACGTGTTCGACAATATTTAGATCAGACGTTTCCAGATCGATGGTTTGGTAGAAGAGGTGCCATTGAATAATAATATTATTTTTTTTTATTCGCCAAAATACAAAAAATGGGCAAATAAATATGAAAAAACCACAGAAGGCATCGCCCCTATATAATTATGTATAGTCATTCGCTGCACATTACTAACCCAGTCTTTCAATTTTCTTCTAAATTTTTTTCCAAAATTAAGTATCTTTATTTCGTTTGGTACTACATTATATAATTTAGCTGCTAAGAATTTAAAAGATTTTTTGAATAATGTTTTGTGTGGTCATTGGATATTAGATGAGCCTATTCGAAATCGTGTGTTATGCTCGTGTTTATAGGATTTTTTCTTTTTATTACAATACTTGTGGTATAAGGTGGTGGCATGTAAGAAATAAAGTTGTCTTGTATCAAGTATCCCTGTTTCTTGATATAAGTTGTTCGTTGGATATAATCTTGGCTTATGGAAAATGGCTTTAAAAACAGTTTTTTGTGCTGTATTCAGGTCACAAATATATGTCTTGCAGGCGGCACCCCAGGCTGTGATGCCGTATATTATATGGGTTTCAACTAAGGCATGGTATAGGATTCGCAGATAACTTTCTGTAAGAATGTTAGCAAGCATTTTGAGTTTATAGGCAACATTTCTAATTTTTTTGATAACATATTTAATATGGTTATCCCACCTTAGATGTGAGTCTATAAATATTCCAAGATATTTCAAAGTGTTAACTCTATCGATTTTGGTCTTTTGGCCATGATAATTAACGGTAATTTGTTCGAAGGTTGGTAAAAATTTTGAATAGGATGTAAATGCAATAAATTTTGTTTTTTTGAAGTTAACTGTTAAAATTTTAGTGTCAAACCAGTCAATGATCCTTATAAAATCCTGTTCAGCTATTTGTTTCAGTGTGCTCCAGTCATCAGCTTTATATAATACGAGGGTCTCATCTGCAAAACATATAATCTTTCCAGAACTGTTAATTTTGAATAAGTCATTTAAGTAGAGACTAAATAATAGTGGGCCTAGTACTGTTCCTTGAGGCACGCCACACTTGATGTACTTTTTTTTACAGTAAGTGTTAGTGATTTTGACAGTCTGTGCCCGACTTGAAAGGTAATTTTTTAAAAGGATTTGTGACGCTCCCCTAAATCCCATTCTTTCCATAACTTTCAGAAGCTCGACATGGTTAACCGTATCAAAGGCATTTTTTAGATCAACAAAGATACCAATAGTAGGTATCTTTTTGTTGACATTAGAGTTAATTTCATCCATTGCAGCCAAAATTGTATCTGTAGTAGATTTTCCTTTTCTAAATCCATATTGGTCAGAATATATAATTTTGTTTTTGTCCAAAAATTGTAATATCCTTTTTTGTAGTAATTTTTCGAAAATTTTGGCTATATTCGATAGTACTGATATGGATCTATAATTTGATGTTTCCATTCTGTCACCGCTTTTATAAACAGGAGTAATAACAGTTGTTTTAAATGCATCAGGACAAATTCCAGATTGGAAACACCAATTAATGACGTAAGAAAGTGGTTCGGCTAAGTCGTAGGCTATTATTTTTAAATGGTCAGTTTTGATACCATCTACACCAGGACTTTTTTTGGATTTAAGTGATAGGACAGCCTCTTGTACTTCAATCGGACTAACGCTTTCTAAAAAGAATGAATTGGGAAGTTGGGTTTTTGTGAACTTTTCGTTCGAAACCATTTTTTTAATACTGGATGCTAAATTTTCTCCAACATTAGTGAAAAAATTTAAGAATGCATCGTATATTTGTCGTTTATCTGTTAATATTGTTCCATCACGATTCCTAATTTCATCAATATTTGGCTTTTCTTGAACGTCTTTGTTAGTTAAGTGATCGACAACTGACCACAGTTTTCTTGGATCAGATTTGGCATCTTGTAATTCTTTTAGATAGAATTGGCGTTTTGCTTCTCTAACTAGATTGATAAAAATATTTTTATATTCTTTATATTTATGGGAGGTATCTGCACATGGCGATGTTTTCATTATTTTGTATAGTTACTCTTTTTTGTTGGCAGACTTTATCAAACCTTTAGTTATCCAGGGATTCCTGCTTCTGTCAAAATGTTTAATTTTAACTCTGTTTGTACTACATTCAATTAAATATTTCATGCGTTCAATGAGTGTGTTTGCAGCATCATTAACATTCGTTGCACAGTACACTGCTGTCCACGATTCTAATTTGATATTTGCAAGTAGCTTTTTATTATCGACAAAACACCTAAATTTCACTGTTTCATTATTGGATGGATTTTCTGGTGATGATATAAGTATTACAGTGGGTAAATGATCGGTAATATGGTTTTCAACAATTAACGGTATGTACTGACAGAAATTTGAAAAATTTTTGATGAAACAATGATCAATGCAAGAACTGGAACTATTATTGACTACTCTTGTTGGTAAATTTATATTTGATATGAATCCATTGCTCTGCATTACAGTGAGGTATTTGTTTACTAATTTGGTATGTTGGAGTATATTAATATTCATATCTCCTATTATGATGTGGTGTGACTGTATGGCATTTTTGTTATCTAACAAAAATTTTTCAAGATTTTCTACAAATGTATAAGGGTTTGATGATGGTGGTCGATAGACAGATGTGACTTTTACACTTTTGTTATTAATTCTCAATATCAAATCCAACACTGTGATACCGTCATCAAATTTAACAAAATCACATCTGTAGTTGATATCATTTCTTACATATACTGCCACCCCATCATTCTGGTTGTACGTACCATTATTGTAAAGCGTATCATAACCTTCCAAACAGAACAAAGATATATCATTAATTTTCCAAGTTTCTGTTAATATTATTATATCAAATTTGTGTTTAATTGTAGTTAGGAAGATATTAAAACAGTCAAAATTTTGGTTTAGGCTTCGTATATTCATGTGATATAAGCTAACATTGAAATTAGAATATTCTAACCATTTATTAAGAGCATTTGCGTCTTGAGCAATATTTGTATTGATATCATTAACCTGAATGGCCCCCAAGATCGACAAATTTATCATCACCTTTGGATTTCTTTATGTCGGGTCATTTAAAAAGCAAAATCTATGCTACTCAGCCAACATCATTAGAAGACCTGCGACAAAGAATTGTGAATGAGTGCCTTCAAATTACCCCTCAAATATTGCAAAATGTGCGGCAACGTTTTGAGCAAAATCTTTATTATTGCATGGAGAGTCATGGTGGCCATCTTCAACATTTACTTACCTAACGGGTATTAGTTTTCTTTAAGCTTTAAATCAATAAATCTTCAAAACTACTGAACTGCAGTACATTAATTTTAGATCATTATAAAGGGAATTGAAAGACCTTTAAAATAAGGTATCACTCGACCCCCCTTTCCATTTAAGATTTTGGGGGTGGTGCCACCCCCGTTTAGGGGGCTGCACGTGCTAACGTGTTTTTTTCAAAACTTGTGTCCCCCTCGAAAACAAAATCGACGGGTCTGAGCGTTTTTCCAAAAAAAAACTGAGCCGCCAGTAAATGCGTCTGTTTCGTTTTCGACGCGCCACCCTGTATTTATATTTCAAATATATAGAAACGCAAATATTAACTGTATCTGGTTGATGTTTTAAATCCTTTTCTCCACAGCCTGGCAGATTTTCCAATTATTAGCAACGGTTACATAAGGAAAACAAAATACATGCTAATATGCAGATCATATAATGAATATTAAGATTGTCAGCAAGGCAACTAGCTCGATAGCTTTCGTTTATTTAAATCGTTCAGTTTCGTGGTGGAATTAACTCTCGACACACCTGCAAATCGGATGTTTTGTCGATGAATCAATGAGTTCGAAAGCATGTACCGTTTTGTAATTTTGGAAACTGATTTGTCTTGTTTACAAATGTACATATATACAAAGTCTTTGCGAATAAGATGGCATTCTATCCGATGCGTATGGGACACAAAAAGGTAACGCCACAAATCATATAAAAAATGGCGTAAAGTAGGTTGACTCTGGATTTACCACGTCTCGTCTATAAATATTTTATAGGGGGAAATGAACGGGGAAATCTGACGTGTGATATATGTACTGATAATTGGGAAATCTCGGAACTGGAGATACAACAGACCAAAATATACTAAGTGACATATAAATCCGAACACTCAGTTTAAATGGTTTTATTTTAATAAAATTTTGTATAAATACTTAATAAGTAAATGATAAAAATTTCAAAATGATTGCACTGCTTTAAAGCCCTTT